ATACAGTATGTCCCATTTAAACCAGACTGACATAAATCATGGCTCCAACACCAGAGTGGTCAGTTGAAACAAAGAGAGAAATATGAAGCCTTTAAATAAGGTAATTAGCAGAATTTTATAAAAGATGTTGACTCTTTTCAGTCAGCTGGGTCTAAATTTTCTTTGTTCAGATAAAACGAGGTTATAAAAGGGAAGCATATCGGTCAACCACGGAGGAAATGGAAGTGTCAGCAAAGTAAATAAATGAAAAATGAAAGTAATATCTTGATAACATAAAACTAACAATAAAACAAATGAAAAACAAGTGGAAACTGGAGTCAATATCTGTTAACGAACTGTAAGAAATCGCCTAAAATGGGATTTACAAACAGAAAAGTCAAACCAAAGCCACCGTTTACATGCAAACAGAAAAGAACAAGGGGACAGTTGGTTAAAGAAAAACAGTCATGGACCCCTGCAGGTGACTGGTTGAAGGTGTCATTTCAGGTAAAAACATGGGGGTGGGGTGTCATTAAATCCTCAAGTCTACTTTGAAATTTTAGACATATTTTTCTTATTCCATCAGTTGAAAAGATGTTTGGTGAAGACAAAATTATTCTTTCAAGACGGTAACTATGACATCAGCAAAAAGAAGAGTCAGAGTGATACTGTTTGTTTGTGGTTCATGTCTCAGAAAATTCAAGCTGGGAAAGAAGCCAGAGGTGGAACAAAAACGTGGAGCCGGTGCCATATTTTTTATGATACCATTTTTTTCCTCAGAATTGAGTCATTCTAAATTATTTTTCTCTATTAGATCAAAAAAAAAAAAGCAATTATGACTGACTACAAAAGATATTTATTTTTTATTTTTTCCCAGAAGGTTGGAATAAAAAAAAAGCTTTGTGGCATGTCTGTGATTTATTATTTTGACACAAATTTAAACAACATCCTCCAGAAGTGGGGATTTCATACTTTTTGCCAGTAGTTGTAGTTTGTAGGGAAAAAAAGGATATTGGTGTAAAATAGAACATGAGCAGCTGGGGTGCTGAGATATTGCCTCTTTTCTTGTGGATAAATTGAATTTAACTCCAGTGAACAGAAGCCAATGTGGCCAAAAGTGTTTCCAAGTGTCTGTCATCTTGTGCTGTGAATGACTTGAAACAGGGACACAATATACCCGTGATGTGCCGAGCGTAAGTGTAATGGATCTGAGTCACGGTGTGGGCGTGCATGTTTTAGCACTGAGGGCTGTGACAGAGGTGTGAAGAGACTGAGACAGGGGCTAAAAGCAAAGACATCAAACTGCTGCAGATCTCTTCATCTGAGCCAGCAGAATCATTGCATGCCTCTGGAAGGCAAAAGGTGAGCAATATTAATAATTACAAGTATGTTGTTCATGTTTGTGGGTATCTGTTACCAAAATACCTCATAAACCACTGGATGACTTTTAAAGAAAAGTAACCATTGGATGTACAGGGGTTAGACAATGAAACTGAAACTGGGAGGTTTCATGACTAAATTGGACCAGCCTGTTGGCCAAGCTTCATTAATTGCACATTGCACCAGTAAGAGCAGAGTGAAGATTCAATTAGCAGGGTAAGAGCACAGTTTTGCTCAAAATATTGCAATGCACACATTATGTGTGACATACCAGAGTTCAAAAGAGGACAAATTGCTGGTGCATCTGTGACCAAGACAGCAAGTCTTTGTGACTTATCAAGAGCCACAGTATCCAGGCTAATGTCAGCATACCACCAAGAAGGACCAACCACATTCAACAGGATTAACTGTGGACACAAGTGGAAGCTGTCTGAAAGGGATGTTATGGGGGTGTTTCAGTTTCTTTGTCTAACCCCTGTACATCTACAATTGATTAACTTTGAGAGTCAATTCAAGATGGATGCTAAAACCAACCAACAACTTAAAAATGGCTAAAACTCAGTCAATTTTAGAGAAACTGACTTAACGTTTGGTGTGCTGGTAGCTAAGATGGAACCTCTGGATGAACAACTGTATCATGTTATGAGTGATTGCAAAAAGTATTTCATTTTTGTATATGAAAAAGTTATTATGACTATTTACTAAAAAAATACATTTCATTTTGACTAAGGTTTGCATGTTATGCCTCCTGAACAGGGCAATCAAGCAGATGTGGATCACAAAACCTTCTTCAGTGATTGAGCCTGGAGTTCATGCACGCTCCGATCACAGGCACGTCCTGGAAGATGATTGGCTTGTGGGTCAGAATCTGCATGAAAGATGAGTCCCCGTGTAGATCTACACCCTGATCTGTATATCACTTCTGCAACAACTTCTGCAGACTCGTTGTCCTCGGCTGAACTTGTGATCTGCCAAAGCATTTCAAAACTGCTACAGAGAAAATTCTCTTGTTAAATTATTTATTCATTTTTCTTTTTTGAGAGTTCAACACAATCCCAACACAAAAGTGCCAACAGATTGTGCAATGATTTTTATTTCAAATTTTACATAAATTATTTTGAGTCATCAGCACCATGAATAATAGACACATTTTAGGAAATAACCATTGGATGTGCCTTTATAACTAACTTTTAACTTAACACAACTTTTGAAGGCCAAACCAATTTAAGATAGCAAAGTCATCTGACATAAAAATGGTAATGATTTAGTCAATTATCTAAATATTGTGCAAAAATTAACTACAGTATGCATGTAGCTTTACAACACATACTCTGCTGTTTATTGTGTGAGATTTTTGCTTGAAATTTTAGCAATAAATGTTGGAATCTGGGTTGTCTGTTATGGAAAAAATGGAACACTAGATAAATTTTAATGAAATCTAAGAAAGTAATTATTGACAGTATATCTACAACTGTTAAATATTCAGAGCTAATCCTATTTAATGTGGCTGCGACAGCCAACTGATCTTAGCAAAAACAACAATGTCTATAATTCCGTCAGTTTTACAAATACTGAGCTAAAAGTTAATGTTGATATAGCTGCAAGTCTTTTAAAAGCACGCTGAACTGAGTGAACCGAGATCTCACAAAGCATTATTTTTAAAGGCACAGTGTGTAGGATTTGTTGTTTTCAGCGACATCTAGTGGTTGAGTGGTTGAATCATCCTCCCTGGTCCTCCCCCCACCCCCACCCCCGCTTCCAAATGCAAAGGAGTTGCTACGGTGTCTCTCAGGTGTCAAAAACCTTTGATAATTCCAACCGCGATGTCTACCAGCAGCTTCAGGGCTAGTGATGTTTCAAGTGGTAAGATTATGAGCTTTAATAAGTAAAATTATCCCAGCTACAATGACAGACAACAAATATTACATTTATAGTATTACAACTAAAACCGTTTTTGACGCTGCCACCGCAATTTGTCCTTCATGAGCCTTCGTAGACAAGATGGCCTGTAGTGGCGACCCACGACCATGGAGATATAAACAGCTTTTTATAAGATAAAAATAATAAAACAAGATCTTTGTCTGCAATGATTAGACATGTTTTTTATTATTGTCATTGGTGATTATCTCAATTTCGGCTAAAAGAATTGACAAAATCCTACATACTGTGCCTTTAAAGTTTGGCCAAACTGATACAGTTCCTACGATGGAGTATTAGGGACACACAACGAGATTTTTTTTTAAATTATCATTACGAGATTAAAGTCATAATTTTACGAGAATAAAGTCATAATTTACGAGATCGTAATATCACGAGAAAAAACGTCATAATTATGACGTGTCTATTTCCCGTTCCTCATCTCCTCCTTTTTTTCCTCACACTTGCTGTGTACAGCCTTTTGTGTATGTTTATAAAGTAGTCAGTGGTGACTCCGGGTACTGTTAGATTTATATGATTTCATCCAAAATTAGCTACGTGACGACTAAATCCGTCAATGCATCCATTAATTACAACACGGCTTCAGTTTATAGTCATTTGCATAATTTCCAAGTCATGCAACTGATAATTTGATGCTAATGTGCTAAAATATTAACTATTTATTTTTAGCAATACTAAAGAACAACTTGACAAGTTGCTCAACATTCCTCATTTTAATGCAGTGATAACTGCATGCTTTTTTATGTAAAGGCTACAATATTATGAATTTAATATTATGACTTCAAACTCGTAATATTACGACTTCATTCTCATAATATTATGACTTTATTTTTATATGACATTAACGTCGTAATATTATGACTTTATTCTCGTAATTTAAAAAAAAACTTGTTGTGTGGCCCTAATACTCCGTCGTAAGTTCCATCATTTCTCAACAAAAAGTATATTTTATCTAAAACTATGTCATGAAAGGTGGTGGGCAATGTCTTATCCAAGAAATGTTTTTCCTTAAATTATTATACACAGAAGATTGATGTAAATTTTACATTAAATAGCCTTTCAGTTCTGAATAAAAACAAAAAGATGTGAAAACTCTGAAAACGATAATGTAACATAAAGTCTGTACATAATGTTGGCTGACCTCTGATAAACACACAGCAGTGTGTTTCTTAATCCACCACTGGTGATCAATCAGCTGTCTGAGCTGAGCAGACTGGACCTGTTTGGAAACGGGAACCAGAACTGAGGGGTGGTGTTATGGAGTTGGAGAAAACTGTTAAGCTTACTGAAATAAACTTGTAATTATGATTGAATAAATGAGCCAGATTTGTTTTTTGTTTGTTTGTTTTTTTACAAAAGTTGGATCATTTTGACTGTTTTGTTGCAGAAACGTGTTAAAATGTATTAATTATGTAAATGCATTTCTATTTTATTCAATTTGGAATTGGTTGATTTTGAAATGATAAAATTAAGGAAATGAAGTCTGGTATTGGATGTGCAGGAAAGGAACTTTAAGTTTGACAGATAAGATGTTTCATTCTGTTCTCTTCAGGAACTGCTGGAGCATCAGATCCACACAGGTTGCTCTGTATTATATAAATGTTCCTAAAGATCTCTTTCTGGCCTGTTTGAACTTGCTGAGTCGGTGTTTGTGCATGCGTGTGTTTGAAGCATAGTGTGTGCCAACAGCTTTCTGTGCCTACCTAATTTTTGCATGCATGCTCGGAGTCTCTCCTCAAGATTTGACACTCTGTTGTGGAGCTCCTCGTAGTCATAGGCCCCCATCTCTTCTTGTAGCTCGTTTAGAACTGACGTCAGATTTCGGACCTCCTCCTTAAATTGCAATACCAATTTGGCATCGGCTTTGTACTCCACCAACACTGGTATCAATGGTCTAAGCTCCTCCATTTTCGCTTTTATGGCCTGAAAGGATTAGAATAAGCTCGGTTGAGTGTCAAGCGCGACAGAAGGAGACCCACTGTCCAGAAAGGAAAGAAAAAGAAAAAAAGGAAGGACCTGTCTAAGCCTGACTACTCTATCTCTTCCCTGCTTCTTCCCTTTTTGTGTCCATGTTCAGTGTTTGTGTTTTTTTTGTTTTTGTCTGTGCAAGTGTGTGTCTGAGCAAACAAACCCAGAGAGAACTCTCCACCCGCTGGACGAGCCGAGCAGGAGGCTCCGACCCGGCACTGAGCAGCCGTTAAGAAGCAAGCCCACGGTACACGGACAACAATTGGGAAAGCTCTTTATTGGTCATCATCGTTCAAAATGCAACATCGTATTAAGGGTTACATGCTTTTACATGTCACACACAACAAAGTGTCTCGAATTATACGACTATAGCTGTACGCAAAGGTTTGCTGAGTAACCAAATATGCATAGACAAAAGCCAGGAAAAAGGCAAATCAAAATGAGTAACACCAATTAATAATAATAATAA